CCACACGTAGAATCAAATTTAGACACAAAAATCTACCTATATCAAACAATCGTCAAAATACCTGGATAAAATGTTTCATTACTTCAACAAATCATTGCACATTCATCCAATGGGAACGGGAGGTGCCCCGTGCAGCATATGAGTCTTAAATTTTTTTCTTGGAAATATCAACCAATCGCATTCACTATACAGCAAGTGGTAACCAAGATACCTCGTTCTCCACTTGTAACTTTACAGACATTGCTGCCTTTAACTGCTAGCACTTTTTGAGGACGTTGGATAGGGAATGTTAGAAGCTTCAGCTGATTTCCGGATACTCAGCCCTGTATTTAAGTGCAGTTCGATGCCTTTTTGCATGGCTTCAGGAGGGATTGCTCCTTTTTTACGACGTTCCCTTCCAAGTGTGTTTCGACCCATGCTAAAAAATTTATTAATATTAGTAATATCTAAATACCTATTATCCCGCAATAATAAATTGTACCTATTAAATAAAATATAATTATATTATAAAAGTAATGTTATGCCAGCTACAGTAGTACACATTGAACCATGGTTCATTGCGTGCCCAGAGTTATTGGTTATCTGCGTACCCCTCCCCCTTTAGAAAACGTTACGTAATGCTGTTGCCAATAAGCGCATAGAAGCGATTCAAAAAATATACTCAAATAAGCACAATAACCCATGTAGTGCATAGAACACACTCATACGAGGGGTGATCAATAAGTAATGATAATCGAGTATTTCTAGAACGCACAAAAACCCAAATTATTATTTTTCTGCTTGCTTATATATCCACTACTTCAGCTTCAAAAAAATGTATAAATAGGACACCATTACCGGGAGATACATTCATTTGAATACGAACTGTCGAAGAGAAAACATCAAAATGGAGAAAAATGAAATAAGAGCTGTCATCAAGTACCTCTGCCTGAAAAAAATGTCTACCAAAGACATACACAGCGACTTAGAGGAAACATTGGGGGAGTCTGTTCCTCCATATTCCACAGTCGCACGCTGGGCAAAGGAATTTAAGCTGGGCAGAACCTCCACTGAAGATGAACATCGCGAGGGACGCCCTTCCACGTCCCTTACTAGAGAAAACGTCAAAAAAGTGGAAGATATGGTGTTGGCCGATCGAAGGGTGACCGTAAGGCATGTAGCTGAGGTCACAGGGATCTCCTATGGCAGCGTTCAAAAAATCATTGTCAACAAAATGCATATGAAAAAGGTCTCTGCGCGTTGGGTACCGAGAATGTTAACCGACGAGCAAAAACAGAAACGAGTCGACATTTCGAGGGTGAATCTTCAAAAGTTCCAGGCCGATAAAGAATTTTTTTTGTCGCGTTTTGTGACCATGGACGAGACCTGGATCCACCACTTTGATCCCGAAACCAAACAACAATCAATGACTTGGAAACGAGCTTCCTCACCAACGCCGAAGAAATTCAAAGTGTCAAGTTCAGCGGGAAAGGTTATGCGTCTGTTTTCAGCGATGCAGAAGGAATTATTATGGTGGAATATTTGGAAAAGGGGGCCACTATAACAGGCTCTTACTACGCAGGCCAAATAAGAAGATTGCGAGAAGCTATTAAGTCAAAAAGACGCGGTAAACTGCGCGCTGGAGTGCTGTTTCACCAAGACAACGCCCCGGCTCACAAAGCCGCAGTTGCGATGGCTGCCATTGAAGAAACGGGGTTCGAACTGCTCGAACACCCTCCCTATTAGCCAGATCTAGCTCCCAGTGACTTCTACCTCTTTCCTCGGCTCAAAGAACACCTCCGGGGCAACAAATTTGAGGACAATAGTGAAGTGATGGCCGCAGTAGAGGCATTTTGGGAGGGTCAAGACAAAGAATTTTTTTCTAAGGGAATCATGGGCTTAGAAAAAAGATACACTAAATGTATTAACTTGCAAGGAGACTATGTTGAAAAATAAAATACTTTTTTTAATCTAATAGTTCTGTTTCATATTGATTATCATTACTTATTGATCACCCCTCGTAGTTTAGTAAAAGTTATAATAACAAAAAGAAACTACGTTTTTTTTCGTCGTTTTTACTAAACGAAACACAAAAATGCGACACGCGCGTCCGTTTATGGTGGCAAACGGCCGGTGACTAGCGTATTCTACACGGCGCGGGGAGGAAGTCCAGACACGTTTATTGCAAGGACTGGCAACGTCGCTTATTGTCGCAACCTGTACTGGCTCATATGGTACACTTGATTCATTGGCTATCATCCCACCCTAAGTCACAACTTCTCGAAAATTTTAGTTTAGTATTATTCATTTTTCACAGTTACTAAAGTCTTCGTAAGCTTTAAGTAATGCTTGATTAATAAGATTTTGTCCTCTTTGTGGTGCAATTAGTTCATTGGATATAATGTGAATGGTGGGAGTTGAATAGTCCGGTTGGGTGATATAATTGGGTTGAATGCTGGTTTGAAGATTCGATGGTTGGTTTTGTGTTGATGATTTAACTAGTAAGGATTCAGAATGGGAAGGTGCTGGTTGGTCTGAAAATGAAATCGTTGGTTCAGAATACGACGTTGGAGAAGGTGACGGACGGTTTAGATAAGGTGATGTATTCGCTGAAGGTTCAGTGTAGGATATTTGGGAGGTTGACGGCCGTTTTACCCTTGGTGAAGCAATTTGCATTTGGTATGGGACTGAGTGATAGGAAGATAGGGTTTGACGCATCTGTTTCTCCTTAATTCTATTAACAAATAAAGTATCTATGTCATACATCATCAGTTTTCTGTCATCAGGAGGCAGTTCTCGCAACTTTTTGGCTAACAATTTAGCATATAGTTCGCAGTCATCTTCTTCCTTTGGTGGCGGTTGATTTTCTTTTTGTCTTTTGGATAAAATATTGGTTAACTGCCCAAAAGCTGAATACATCTGCCGCTCCGCTATATCGGTAGCAGGACGACGAAGGGAAGTCAGTGGTTTTGGTGTTTGCGAAGTTGATGGCTGCCTTAAATCGCTATCTTCTACGTCTTTTTCTTCTTCCACTAAATCTGCACTTTCAATCGGGATTTTTTGTGATGAAACTTCCTAAAAAATATTTAAATGTTTTAATATTACTTTAGTTTGTTATCGACATATCTCACATTGTTTCAATTTTTATTTCAGATGTCATCGACAAAAGACGCTTGGATGCATATTGAAAGAGGATATAGAAGAAAATTCCCGCACTGTCTGGGTTCTATAGATGGCAAACATATTCTTATAGAAAGTCCACCTCATAGCGGAACGGAGTATTTCAACTATAAGAAAACCTTTAGCATCGTTCTTTTGGCTTTAGTTGATGCCAACTACAAATTTATTTTTGCAAATATAGGATGCCAAGGGAGGATCAGTGATGGTGGCGTTTTCAATAATTCATTACTCACAAAAGATCTGTAAAAATGAAATACATTTTCCTACACCATGTCCACTTCCTTGATCGGACATTGTTGTGCCGTACGTTTATATAGGCGATGGTGCTTTTGCACTAAGTGAGCATGTTATGAAACCCTACCCAGGACAGCATAACGTCGGTACACTAAAAAGGATATTCAATCAAAATTTATCAAAAGCGCGGGGGGTGGTAGTAGAAAACACGTTTGGAATTTTAACATCAGTATTTCGAATTTATCGTCGCCCAATTGATTTAGATCCGAGTACCGTGACAGAAATTACAATGACTTGTGTGCTAATACACAACTTCCTTAGGAAAAACTCTCCAGAAGGATATACTCCTCCAGGAACGTTTGATGTAATTTATGGAAATGGCCAATTGAAGGTACGAAAGTGATTATAATGCAATTCAAAATGTACCAAACATACCCCGTAGGTCACCTATGCACGCCAAACAGATAAGAGAAGAATTCACTTCATATTTTTGTAGAAGATCGACATAGCATATTACATTAATAATCGAAAATGTATACCTTAGGTCCTTTTATTATGATTTGTATAATAATTTGTAAGTAGTAGTGACATACAAATTGTATATTACTTAGTTCATATTATTAGTTAGCAAACAAAGTATGTATACCTATATCTGTTTTGATGCACCATGTACAAGGTGTTGTTTTGAAAAGGCCCGGCATCTCAGGGTGAGTTCTCCTCGTGAAGCTGGACAACTTTTCGAAAGAAACATATCGAATTACGAAAAAAATAAATTCAACATCCCATTGTCCATAGCCTTTTTATAGATACAATTTTAATTAGCTATTCGATCGATTTGTATGGAGAGCTTCCAATTTTTTCCTATATATTTTGACCAATTTTTCTTGTGAAAAATTGGTCAAAATATATAGGCAAATATATTTGTCAAATTTCATGAGTAGAATTCTTCCTGAGACGGCAGGCGTTTTACATAACAACATCCTTTATAGTAAAATATAAAATAAACCACTATGAAAAATATTTATATTTTTACTTACGTCCTCTGTATTTATATTATCTGTGCATGTATACACCGGCCCCAAAAATGATTCCATTTGGTTATAAGCAAACCATATGGGTTTATAGATATCGTCTGCTCCTAAAACTTAAAACACATTATATCAAATTCAAGAAAAAAAAGTATGGGAATAAGTACGCAGTTATTTAGTTATTCCCATACTTGTTTAAATTTTAGTACCTATTTGTTTTTATAGCGGCAACTACCTAAAATACATACATACATACCTATTCTGTGAAAATGTCAACTCTAGCTACCACGGTTCATGAGTTACCGCCATTGACCGACAGTCGGACAGCGAAGTATTAGTTATAGGGTCCCGTTTTTACCCTTCGGGTACGGAACCCTAAACAGCAGCTTTGAATTCCATGTAATGATAAAAAAATGATAAATGATAATACTTGGTCAAAACTAACTAACCTGCACCAGAACGAATCGACGCTTGTTGTTTTCTGAAGTGTCTCCTGAATGTAGCCATTAATATTTATTTTTTATTTTTTAATTCTGCCTATTTTGGTGGTTAGGGTCTTTTGAATTCCAAATGTTTGGCTCAAAAGTCAAAATATATGCCTTCAAGGGCGTAAAGCCCACGGACAAAAGCATTTTCAGCAGCTATGCAACCCTCTCGCTCACGTAAATATCCTTTCAACATTGAAATGTACGCTCTAGCCAACGAATTAGAAGTAACGGGAACACCAAGATTGGCGCGGATTACACGAAGAAAAGTGGTGATTAGAGAGACGTAACCGAAATGTGAATTCCACGGGATTGGAGTTGAAGGACCAGAGTAAACTACAATTATATGAAGCGAAACCCAAGCAGCATGACTGGTAAAACAAGACCTAGCGTTGAAATCGAAGAATTCGGTGGAATTTCCAGCCCTACATTGTGTATTAACAGAAGCAATATACACAGTTTCATCTTCCGATATGGAAATATCATGGAAAAGGATGCCTTTTCTGACAAGACCACAAAAAGCACATTCATTAGCGTACATGGAATAGAGTATTTCCTTCTTCATTTGAGTATCACCGGCTATAAAACTCTTCATTATAAGAACCGAAATAGTATATCTAAAATACTTAACAGCACGATAAACCAAACAGGAATAGAATGACAAGTGTAATGTTATATCTTCATGCCTAACATCAAAAACATCATTAAATATTTCGTTAATAAAAGCGACCGACGCATTGTCAAAAAGGAAAATTTGTCTACGCAATCGAATGTCAGTTAATCTTCCAGTCCGCAGAGCTCTGCGAACCGTCGTCCTACCAGGAAAGAAAGTTTCAGCGGCAGCAAGTATCGAGTTTTCGTCTGGGACTTGTCCCAGCACTGGCTCATATTTGAATCTAGTAGTAAACATAACACATTGCTTACGTCGGCCATTATTAGGAAGAGCAGTCAACAAAGAAAATCCAGATTGAGCATCCACTTCTAAATCTGAGTAATCATAACAATAGGCAAGAACCTCTCTATTCTCATTGTTTACGACTACGTACGGCACAGTAGCGTCCCTAGGATGCAGGAAAGTAGTCAGAGGCAAGTAATCATCAGATGCATCAACGCGGTTTTGAATGAACAAATTCTGCTGTTGCTCGCCTGATCGTTCGAAATTATCTTTTAGCAAACGCCTTACAGTTACACGCGAACCCGACATTGCGGTAATCAACCAAAAGTACTTCATTTTGATACGCTTCTAAAAAGCAAAGAGTTGTGTCTTCCGACCAAGCACACATGATTACGCGCGAAAACCTATTATATTGTAGTCTTTGGCTCCAACAACGATTTATCGACGCAGCGCGCGCGACGTCCACCGCCCGTAACCTCGCGCGCAATACTGGTGTATATAGCAAGCGTGTGGAATCATCGCAAACTGTTTGCCTTTGATATGTGAAGAAAAACCGACACTGACGCCGTACAGTGGCGAACACAAACAAGAACAGGCACACATATTCAAACACCCATCCACATGTTCGTGTTTGCTGTTTGTTGTTTGCTATTGTTTGCCAAGCGTATGGACGCGGCTTTAAGCTAACGCTCGGCCGAGCTACATGGTAGGCGGAGTGGGGGTGTTAGGTTTAAATTCGTTACGGCATTTCTTGATTCGGTCGCCGCGCTCAAAGCCCGCGATAAAAGCTGTGCAATAAAAATATTTAGAAATGAACTAAATAGATTTGCCAGCATTAATGAGTTTGCCCTTCAGAGAGGAACGACTTCTCTACGTTTTCGTGGCAGATAGTGCATTTGCTCTCACTGAAAACATGTTGAGGCCGTATCCCGGTCTCCATGCTAAGGGAACAAAAGAACGATTCAATTTGATTTCGATTCGATTCAATTATCAATTTCAATTTTCAAGAATAGTAGAGAATGTTTTGGATGAATGGATATTGGTTACACAAAAAGTAACCAATATCATAATGACAATGTCATTATGATATTCGTTACTTTTTGTGATATTGGTTACACTTCGACCAGGGCGTATCGATGTATGCTTTAACAGGGATAATCAGGAAAGAAATCAAAAGTTGGCGTTTTCTTGCTTCCTGAGAAATAAGGTGATAATCACTGGGCAAATAGATGTCACGATTTTTTAACGCACTTTCAATAGTACTATGGACGGAGTCGCACTCCATTTGAGTGTGTCCTTTGGTAAGGTACTTTTGAATTATTTCTACATCATATTTTTCGGCAAGACTTAATAGTGCATTGGACGTTATTACATTTCGGTTCTGGGCTGTACAACCATCAGAGTAAATTATAATAGGGCGATTATCACCCTTTCCCAGAAAATTGGATTCCAAGTAATGAACCAAAAAAGTAGCAAAAGTTGATGAGCCGTCACTAACAGTTTCATCGAACCAGTTACATAATGCATCACTTGTGGCAAGATTGTAAAATTGTGGTTACATAGCTTAGTCCGGTAGTAAAGAGCATTGGCTTTCGTCATCGGAGACAATTTAACAGCTTGGACATCCATGGTTAAGACATGGCATTCACCCTCCAAAGCCCTGATTTTATCTTTACTTTTTTCGTCTCTTGCTTTCTTCTTTTCAGCTTGATGAACCTCGTACTCATTTTCTGGTAAATGTCAGTTAGTATAGGCCAGACACACGTCACATTGGTCTTTACGAGGCTTGAACAAAGAAACATTCATTTCTGAAAGTACATCTTTCATTTTGTTAATGGTTAGGGCATCTATGCCTTCTTTTTCACAACTAGACTTATAAACATTGTAAAGCGTTTTGTTGATTTTCGACAGTAATAACTGTCTGGGTATAAATATAATAACTGGGTAATTTATTGAGAAGATTAACAAATGTTTTTAGACACTCAAGCTTATCAGTGTTCTTGTTTTCTCTAGGGTCTCTGGAGGCCACAGCTGTTGAATGTTGTTCTATAACTGCTGGCTTTTTGCCGACCAATCTGCAACTGACCACTGACCCAGTCCAATTGTGTTTAAGTACATGGTTTTACAAACAACTAATAAATTATTCCTTATTTGCAAATGGTAAGCTAAAGAATGACCACGTCTGCTATTTCCTTCAGTAGTCTTACGTTTAGCTTCACGGTTGAAGACGGTGTTAGACACAAAAACTTTTCTTTGCTTCCATCCTTCAATCCATTTTAACTGAAGTCTAATTGTTGTTAATATCAAAATCCTGCAAGATCTCATTACATGTTGTTTTCAACACTCCAATAAAAATCAGGTCTTACTCTATCAGCCTCATTAGAAGTCCCCACTACATTCACTTGTTTCCTTTGAACCCGTGAACAGCGACACAATTTACTGAAATGAATCATTTTCTGACAGTGAAAACATGTTTTGCCATACACTGGGCACTGATTAATTCAGTGAGTTTTTTAACAGTTTGTGCACCCTTTTTACAAGTTTTTTAATTTTACTTGGTCGCATTTTGTATTTTTCACTTGAAGACAAGACCTCTATCTCATTTGTATCCATTGTTTGATGTGAATTACGCTGCTCTTTATTTTGCAAATATATTCTTGATGCTTTTGCACTAGGCACAAAGTTCATAACATAGTCTATGGACAGTTTACTATCGTCCTCCAACATTAGTTTTGTTTGGAAGTTATTATATTTTCACATCCATTCCTGAAATTATTCGGTGCACGTTAAGGGACTCCCTGAGTTCCCCTAATTCGCATTCCATTCCATTTTGAGTTGCGGTGAAGAATTCATGTCTTAGTATGATGAGGCTTCTTTTAGGGTTAAAATATTCTTTGAATATCTCTATGACTGAGTCCAGCTTTTTAGCACTAGTTGTATTGTATACCCAAATAGAAATAAATACAAAGTAGAATTTATTATTCTTCAGGGACAAGTTCCTACTCTATTAGGCTGTAGAATACGTCTAGAATATAATTTTGGTGCAGCAAATAGTGATCTTGTAAATAATGTAAGTTGTAATAATAATGTGTCAGAATTGATTAAAAATATTAAAAACAATTACAGTGAGCCGTTCGATGGAGGCCTTGATTGTCTACCTGGCACAGTAAAAATGCAACTCAGCGCTGACGCTGTTCCTGAAGTGTTTAGGATAGAGAAACTACAAGTTATAGGAAAAGTGGACAAACCCACACAATAGGTAAATAATTTAGTGTTGGTACGGAAACCCGATAATAAATTACGGTACGGTACCAAGAGACCGGATCACACCTTAGAAGACCAGGAAATGGCAGACCAAGATGCACAACGGCCAGGGAAGACAGACAACTGGTGGCTATAATGCTCCGAAATCGTTTTCAAACTGCTGTTGGTCTAAAAACTCACTTTATTCGCTTTGGAGGTGGCAATTTAAGCGCTCAAACAGTAAGAAGACGTCTTGCTGAAGCAAATTTGAAACCATTGAGGCCCCCAAATGGCCCCAAACTGGAACGGGGACATCGAATTACAAGACAGAGATACGTACGCGAGCACCTAAACTGGACACTAGACGATTGGTCTAGGGTAATGTTCACGGACGAGTCTAAATTCATGCTTTATAAGCATGATGGTAGGCAGTTGGTGTACAGAAGACCAGTGGAGCGCTTCCATCAAGCGTGTGTGGAGGAAAAAGTGGCGTACGGTGGAGGCTCCGTACAAGTTTGGGCTGGGATTTCTACTGAGGCCCGCACCGAGCTGGTACTCATTCAAACTGGAACTCTAAATGCAGAGAGGTACGTGGAAGAGATCCTCAATGAACATGTAGGTCCTTTCATGGCCAGGATGGACCGGCATGGCATATTAATGCATGATAATGCGCGTCCCCATACCGCCAGAATTGTACATGACTACCTTGAAGAGGTCGGTATCGAACTCATGCAGTGGCCAGCGCGAAGCCCGGACTTAAACCCCATCGAGCACGCCTAGGACGAGCTTCAGAGATGCGTGAAAGGTCGAAACCCCCCACCAATCACGCTTCCTGAGCTCAAACAAGCACTGGTGGAGGAATGAGAAGGTATTCCTCAGCACCGACTCCGAAATTTGGTGTACAGCATGCCTAATCGCCTGGAAGCTGTCAGAAGAGCTCGTGGAGGCAATACAAAGTATTAAATGAAGAAAGTGATGAAAAACAGCAAAAAAACAATCATAAAAAAATGTAATCTTAAGAAAAATTTGACTACTTTAGTTTTTTTTTTTAATTTAGAGATAAGTTAAGAGTTAGAGAGTTTAGATTTAAGTTTTATTTTATTTTTTATCTGTATAATTAAATTGTCAATTGAACAGTCTTCGTTTCATTAGGATGGCATACGTAGTTCGGGAGATATTCGGGTTTATGTGACTGACCCGTTATTTTTGGAACCGAGTTTATTTAAAAGACAGAAGGAGTATAAATAAGAGACAAACAATATACACAACGCGACACATAATAAACTGTCCATACACACTTAATACTATTTAAATTTACTTAATTAAATAAAGATGGAATGTCAACACTAACCGAGAACGCGCAGGCTGTAAGGGGGCCATGGACCAACTGACTTAACGTACTTACTATACGATCGTTCTGGAGCGACCCACATAACTCAACACTATAATGTAAAAAAAATCATAAGTGCCGTGATTGTCTTGAGTAGTGTTAAGAAGTAATAAATAACTATTGCCAAACCTTAAGTGTTCAGATAACTGTGATAAATGACTGTGAAGCTCGTCGTGGGTTCGATTCCCACTTAGGACGAATACAAGTGTTGTGTGAAATTATTTTTATAATAGTGTAATTGCGTTTATGCTTATGTTGTTTTGTGTGTCTATGATAAATGTTACGTAGTAGGTGTGAGCCCTACACTGTACAACAATATCTATCCCGTGGAAGACATCAGTGAAAGTGTTTTGTTCAAGATAACTGTCGGATACCTTCTCTCTTCGGTGTACTACATCATCATAGCATACCTACCTACAAAAAAAAATTGGAATTCAAACTTAACAGAAATCATCCACTTTATTTGTTATCAACTTTTTATAATAAATTTTTCTTAATAATAAATCAGCCCTAGCTGTCTTTTTAATTTGCACATTGCACAAAATTAATTAAGCACTTAAATAATTTTCCATCAAAACAACATGGTCGCCACATCCTGTCAGATGTCAGATGTCAGATCGACCCGACTTTCATGAAAATCCCTATAGTGTCTTCAGCGTTGGTTGAGTAATATTTATTAGCTTTATTTTATTTTTTCACCTCT